AAGGTGTACAATTTATGCCATCATTCATAACAATTTACTTATTTATTAAACTAAGGTCATCTTCAGTTACATTGTGAGCTTGACATTTTTGACACTCTGTCTCAAAAAACCCCACTCAAAGAAACAGCAATAACAAACACAATATCCCCAGATAATGTAAGAACATGCCTATAATCTCTGAAACCATGAGGCATGAGCAGGAGGATCTCATGTTCGAGACCAGGCTGGATTACATAACAGACCATGTCTTAGTAAACAGCATAAACAAAAAAAAATGTAAAGATCATTCTTTGTGTTTGGTGAGTGAAGAGAGTTTATAATTAAGATATTCCAGGGAAGTCACCATATAATGGGAGAGGTGATGACCCAATGACACATCTTTTTTTTTTAAGATTTTATTTATTTATTATGTATACAACATTCTGCTTCCATGCATATCTGCACACCAGAAGAGGGCACCAGATCTCATAACGGATGGTTGTGAGCCATCATGTGGTTGCTGGGAATTGAATTCAGGACCTCTGGAAGAGCAGTCAGTGCTCTTAACCTCTGAGCCATCTCTCCAGCCCCCAATGACACATCTTATGCCACCAAATAAAACCTCCAAGCGCAAGGAATGGGTTACATCTTGTTGAGTCATTGGCCAAAGGGGTCCCTCAAACATCACAGGCCATTGTCTAGGGTATTAGTTTCCCTCCACAACCCGACATAAGACCCTATTGCTGGAGACACCACTTATGTAAATGAACTTACAGAGATAAAGCTGGTGCCCAACCTGCATTCATGGTGCTAGAAGGTACTTTGCATACTATGTGGAGGAGAAAAGTAATTTTCAGTACCACACAGCTATAAACCTGTGACCTATGGCTGTGACCTATCTGCAAGATATACTGCTCCAATAGTGATACGGACATTATGGGAGTAACCACCACTCTTTGATTGGATTTAAGGCCTGCTCCGTGACATGGAACCTACACCTGACACTGCTGGACTAGATAGGTGTTGGGCCTAGGGAAAAGCTTACTATTATTCTGCTAAAGGAACATAGCAACAAAATGACTCCTATTGCTATACTCGTACATCAGAGCATCACTTGACCCTCACCGGAGGGGCTGCTTCTTTCAGTACATGGTAATTAACTGAAAGACTCATAATTGGACAGTGTGCAGAGAGAGACAGTACAGAGACAGAGAGACACACACACAGAGAGACAGACTCTTGAACATTCAGTCCTAAATGGTCTGTATCAGTCGCCTCCCCTCAAAGCTTAGAGACCTTAGAGAGAGAGGAGTAGAAAGATTGTAAGAGCCAGAGGTGGTGGGTGACTCTAAGAAAACAATGTCACCCAGACACAGTAGAACTGATTCACAAATGAACTTACAAAGACTGCGCCAGCACAGCACAGCCCTGCAACAAAATCCCAGCACTGGGAAGCGAAAACCGACACAAAGTCCCAACCCTAACAGAGAAGGCATTTGCAATTGACACTTCCTGGGAGTAGGGAAGTGAATGTTATTGGGCACACTTCAGGACACACCTCCACACAAAAGCCACTTGATGTTTTGGCTCATTTATTATTGTTACTTTTTTTTTTTTTTGGTTTTTCGAGACAGGGTTTCTCTGTGTAGCTTTGGACCTATCCTGGCACTGGTTCTAGACACCAGGCTGGCCTCGAATTCACAGAGATCCACCTGCCTCTGCCTCCCAAGTGCTGGGATTAAAGGCGTGTGCCACCACCGCCCTGCCTAAAATTCAGTTTTAACAAAACACATTTGTTAGCTCGGTTTTTATAAAACTTTTTTGTTAGCGATTAGCCAGGTGAGCACATTAGCATGGTTGGACATCATCATGCTATCAAGTGGATTACTTTGGTTGGATTTACTGATTTAAACAGATGACAGGGAAATGTACCCAGGGCATAAAACTACTTGTAGCTCATTACATTTCATGCCGTCATCACAGGGGAGATGGGGACACTTGGGAGTGTGAACATGGGGTCCACAGCTGTTGCTAATTCTGGGGAGCTTTTTGATGGAAGCGGGCAGTTTTAATTTTTCTCAATGCTGGGGTCCTCCCTCCTGCCTCCCCTCATTCCTCCTCCCTTCCCTTTTTCCTTCTTCCCTTCCTTCCTCCTTCCCTTCATTCCTTCCTCTCCTTATTTTTTTTTCACTTTTTGACAGGTTCTCTTTTATCCTAGGCTGGCTTCAAACTTATTATGTAGTGGAGAATAATCTTGAACTTCTGCACCTTTTGCCACTTTGTGCCCAGATTGAACGCAGGTGTGCTGGCCTGGAACTTACCATGTAGCCCAGGCTGGCCTACAGAGTGTTAGAATTACAGGTGTAAGTCACCATACTGGTTGTTAATTTTTTATTATTAAATTGATTCATTTATTTTACATCCTGATCGCAGCTTCCCCTCCCTCCTCTCCTCTCATCCCCCCCCCCACCCCCCCCCCCATCCCCCCCCCCTTCACAATCCACTCCTCCACTGTTTCTGTTCAGAAAGGAACAGGCCTCCCACGGGTGTCAACGGAACATGGCTATCAAGTTGAGATAGGACTAAGCCCCTCCCCTTGTATTAAGGCTGCACAAGGCAAACCAGTATGAGGAATAGGTTCCCAAAAGCCAGCCAAAGTGTTAGGGCCAGGCCCTGCTTCCACCTCTAGGAGTCGCACAAGTAGATCAAGCTACACAATTGACTGATGGAAATAGATACAGACAGATATCTATAGCGTAGCACTGGGCTGAGCTTGGGGAATTCTGTTGAGAAGGAGGAGGGATTGTACAAGTCAGAGTGTGTGTGTGGGGTGCCGAGGTCATCACAAGGGAACCCACAGAAACAATTAACCTGGGCTCATAGGAGCTCACAGAGTCTGGACTGACAGCCAGGGAGCTTGCATGGGACCAACCTAGACCCTCTACGTATGTGTGACAGTTGTTGATTTTTTTAAAGTTAGAATTTTGTAAATATCTTCAAGACAGTAGTTCTACATCTGTTATGAAAGTGCAATGTGGTGCGTGCATGTGTGTGTGTGTGTGTGTGTGTGTGTGTGTGTGTGTGTGTGTGTGTGTGTGGCTGGGAACGTAACACAGGGCTTTGCTCATGCTAGAGAAGCACCCTGCCAGTTCGGGGACCTCCCCAGTGTGAATACCATAAGATGAATGGCTGCATTGAGCTCTTGTAACCTTACAACAAGGCTGCTTTTCCTGAATAGCAGGCTGAGCTCAGAACAAGGTCACTGCTGCCTCCAAACAGAACAGGTCCATTATCTCATCAGAAAGAGTTAGTAAGAAGCTCCAGTTGCAAAATGTGGGTACCAAGTTAGTATGGGTGGTTGTGCTGAGTCCTTTTTGATTCTTTAGACTCAGGATAAGACCACCCTTCCTCAAGGCTAGGCTGAGGCTGAGCACAGTAAGACCCAACTGCAGTTACTCCAGGGTTCCATAGCACAATGCTCCATAATGCCGAATAACCCCCCCCCCACATCGTAAACTGCAGCCCTACACAAATAGTTTCTCTGTGTCTTGCCCATTGTAGCTGTACCACAGTGTAGCTAATGTATGCTGCTTCTGTCCTGATGAGTTCCTTTGCATCCTGTACGTCACCAGCCTACCAATACAGTCCCAGACAAATTACTCATTAGCCGTTTCTTTTGGCTTTCTGGGACAGGCTGGCCTTGAACTCAGGATCCTTATGGCCTCAAAAGTGCCAGGATTACAGGTGTATGCTACCAAGCCCAGTTAGAAGCATAACATTTATTTATTTATTTATTTATTTATTTATTTATTTATTTATTGACAGAGTCTCATGGTCCCAAACTTACTATGCAGTTTAGAATAATGGATTTCTGATCCTCCTGTCTCCACCCTCCAAGTGCTAGAATTACAGGCATGGGATACCACATACAGTTTTATGCAAGGCAGCCCCAATTTTAATTTTTTGAAAATAAACAACTATGAACCTGGGATTGAATCTGTGACCTTTCACACACTACACAAGCTTTCTACCACTGAGCTGTTTTGTAGTTCCCGTTCCTTTTTTTGAGACAGGCCTTCATTCTTTAGCTCAGGCTGGCCTGGAACTTGTGGTTCTCTATTGTACCTCAGCCTCCCATGTGCTAGGCTTACAGGTGTATGTCATCACGCCTGGCATTTCCAGCCAGTTTCTTGATGGGGGATGTCCTGTATATGTTTCTCTTATTGGTTAATGAATAAAACACTGTTCAGCCAATGAGGCAGGAAGATAGGTGGGACTAGGAGATGAGGTGAATTCTGGGAAAGGTAGGCAGAAGAGGGTCCGAAACAGTCTCCATGTAGCCGCCAAAGGAGTAACAGGTCCGGATCCTTCTCTGGTAAGATAAGACCACATGGGAATACTTAGATCAATAGAAATGGGTTAAGAATTAAGACAGATCTAGCCAATAAGAATCCCTAGCCACTGGCCAACAGATTTATAATTAATATAGCATCTGTGTGTGAGTGTGTTTATTTGGGGTTGAGGTGGCTGTCAGACTAGGCTGGTGGAAGAAAACTTAGACCAACTTTTTCTTTTCTTTTTTCTTTTAGATTTGAGATGAGTCTTGCTAAATTCTCCAGATTAGTTTTGAACTATAGCCCTTGGTAGCCTTAAACTTTCACTATTCTTTCCTTCCTGACAATTTTTATTTTGTGAGATAAGGTCTCAAGCTGTATTGCCCTGGCTGGCATGGTCCTCACTATGTAGACTAGGCTGTCCCAGAGATCTGCCTGTATCTGACTCCAGAATGCTTGGATTGTGCTGTCATGCCGGTCTGTTTACTTTTTTGAGACGGTGTTTCATATAGCCTAGGCTGGCGTCAGATTTTCTGTACAATTAAGGATGATATTGAACTCCTGATCCTCCTACCTCCACCTCCCCAGTGTTGGAATTACAGGCACATACCACTCCTAGTGTATTTACTTTTTGTTTTATTTTCTTTTTTAGTACCAAGGATCAAATTCAGAGCTTCACATGTGCCAGGCAAGTACTCTACCAGTGAGCTATATCAGCAGTCCTGGAGCACAACTTTAGTCAGTAGTTATATATTTATTCATCATATTGCGAATGTAGCCTCCCAAATGATTTTCACTTTGGGGTATTACTAGATGCCAGCATTAGAAATAAAGAAATGATCCAATTTCCAGAGCTCAGTGATGTCCTCAAAATAGTGTTTGATGTATAACAGACTTCCTTCTCAAATGTCACACAGTTTGCCTCCTTCACTTGCAGTTAGCATTTTCCAGCAGTGTCTTCCACACCATCTCGGATGTGGCTTGCTGCCTATTCCTGATCTTCCTTTCTAGCCTTGGCCTCTTTCTCTGCAGCTATAGAAAGAAACATGTCGAATGATGATGCTGTCGACACAAACATCTTGCTGTTCTGAGTTTTTGTGGTTACAAGAGCACACATGAAATGGCAGTGTAACCTAAATTTCATAGAAATACATTTTCAGATTGCTCAGTATTGTATTTAGTATTCTAGGAAGCATATAATAACAATGGATGAATTATTGAGCAACGAGAAACAGTAAGAGCTGGACACATAATGGCTGGCAGTCTGTATTGGAATCTCTGTTGATTGTGTGTATGCCTTTACTCATTTTTGGTAATTCTTACTTTCAAAGAGAAATGATTTCAGGCTCCTGGGCTTGCATTTGGATCATCAGTCATTTGTGTCCATGGTGACTCTGCTGTTTCGGTTCTGGGATCCTGTCAAAGCCATGGAGAAGTGGCTGGAGACGCAGATGGATGACTCACTCTAATCTCTGGAACGAACAAGATGATTACTGAAAGCTTTTCTCAGTGATGGGTACTATCTGCTTGTGCTGACCTTGCCCTTTGACCACCACTGTCAGGCCTGGCCTGCCTTTGCAGTTTGATGGAGACTTCAGAATGCCCTCCATTGAAGTGAGTCAAGGCTAATCTCAATGGAGTAAGCTCCGTTGTTTCCTGCTTGGTGAAGATCTCCTTGGCTAATGTTAGGAGCTTAGAATCTGCCACTGAGCTGCTTCATAATCCATGTGGCTAAATAGAGGCGTCTTGGGGTTACAACTAATACAGACAATTATAGTTAGGTCACCACATCTGCAGAACACACATAGTCAATCAGTTCTCTTTCTAGTCCACTAGTTTTCTTGTTTAAGAAAAATGGTGGCTTTGATCCCAGGACTTGGGAAGCAGAGGCAGGCGATGTCTGTGAGTTTGAGGCCAGCCTTGTTTACAGAGCTAGTTCCAGGACAGGTTCAAAGCTACAGAGAAACCCTGCCTCAAAAAAAAGGAGTTGGGCACAAGCAGTGAGGGCCCACAGAGAGATGATGTTAGATAAAAGATCTGCCTAAAAGAGACCAGCAGAGCTGCCAGATAGAAGCTCATCCGACTCAACTGCCTGGAAACCACCGTCTGCACCTGCTGAGCTTATACAGGCTGTCCTCTACGTTCCAGGCTTCCAACTTTTTTGACCTGTCGCCCACACTGAAGTAGGATTTTAGTGATGCAGCCAGCTGTCAGTCAATTCTGCACCGGGGTGTAACTTTTCACCCATATTCCTGTGAGTTACTCTGATAAAACTCGTTAGTTCATCAGGTTGGCAAGTTTAGGGACTGCAACGCCTGCTCTCTAGTCAAGGACGTGGAGAGGTGATGAGGAAACCGGATGTGCACCAGTTATCATGTGATTTCAAGGAGGTGGGAGCATCTGTCTTCATTATTTAATTGCTCATCCACTTTTAAGACATAATCTCCCTGTGTATCCCAGGCTGCCTTGAACTCTCAATCCTCCTGCCTCAGTATCTTCAGTGCTGGGATCAAAGGTCACCATCCCCCGCCTCTCTCTTTCTGGCCTCAAAACCCTTTAAAGCCTTTTGTGGGAGAATATTTGAGAATAAAGCTGAAGCTGCTCACCAAGCCTGATGACCTGAGTGCTGGCCCTTGTACCCACAGAGTGGAAGGAAAGAGTGAGTTCCTTGTAAGTTTTCCTCTGACCTCCACGTGTGTGCTATGTCATGGGCCTCTTCTCCCCCACACAATAATAAATGTAAATAAAATAGAAGACTGTAAGAAAGCTAAGTGCTTTCAGCCAGAGCTGCCATCTTTCAGCCAGAGCTGCCAGTAATTGGACAGTGTTGAGTTTCAAAGTCAGGACAAATGAATGAGGTGCCTATTTAAACTATTAAAACAGACCTGGCTGCCAGGTTCTCTCAGCATCCCCCAGTCCCTACCTGTTATAAGATGTGGCTCCCATACCCCACCCCTACCATGAACTTTCCAACCCAGAGGCTACCCTTCCCCTAGAGGCTCTTCCCTCAATAATCCAGCCATGTTGGTTACCAGTCCCTTTTCACGCTTTTGGCTTCAGGGCTGCTGCCCCTGGTCCTCCTCTCACCTGCTCCCTTCCTACATGGCCGAGCTCAGCCTGGTCATGTCCACTCTGGATTCTCCCAGATGGATGTCCATGCTTCTGACTATGCTCTCTCATATACCTGCAATAAACTTTCTCCTCCACCATAAAAAGAATGAGTTGGGTAATACCTCACTTGACAAAGTGCTTGTCTTACAAACACAAGGACCTAAGTTTAGTCCCCAAAACTGTAAAAAGAAATGTCATGATGGTGCATACTTGTAATCCCAGTACTGGGGGAGCTGTAGACAGGTATAGTCACGAGGCTAGCTGACCAGCCAGCCTAGTCTACTTGGCAAATTCCAGGCTGGCTGGTGAAAGGCCCTGCCTTTTTGGGGGGGGATAGGGTCTCCCCACATAGTGTTTGCTGTCCTGAAACTCACTGTATAGCTCAAGTTGTCCTCAAACTCACAAAGATCTGCCTGCCTCTGCCTCCCAGTGCTGGGATTAAAGGTGTGTGCCACCATGCCTAACAAGACCCTGTCTTTTTTTTTTTTTTTTTTGGTTTTTTGAGACAGGGTTTCTCTGTGTAGCTTTGGAGCCTATCCTGGCACTGGCTCTGGAGACTAGGCTGGCCTCAAACTCATGGAGATCCACCTGCCTCTGCCTCCCAGTGCTGGGATTAAAGGTGTGCACCACCAACGCCTAGCAAGACCCTGTCTTAAAACAAAATAAAATAATTAACTACAATGATTGAGGTTGTCTTTTGACACCGTCCCCCCACACACAGAGGAACCCCCTCTCCGTATTGGTTTTTCCTGATGAATTTGCCAGCATCACACTGTCATCTCCCCAGTGGACTGTGAAATATAGGGAATAAGAAGGCTGTGGCCGAAGGAAGCATGAATTTACCCTTCCAATCCTGCTGAGGCCCCTGGGCAGAATGAGCCTCTTGAACCATTGGAAATGCCACTTTTCTCAGAGGCTATTTGCTTACGAGAGAAACCTGAGCAATCATGTAGAAATGTCAATTAGCCACTTTTCAAAATTACTGTGGAAAAATGATGCTTTTGTTTTGTTTTGTTTGAGCCACAATCTCACTGGGTAGCTCAGGCTGACCCTAAACCAGACTCAGCCTCCCCAGTAGGCATTCCAGGTGTGCATCACCATACCTGGCTGATGCTTTGGATTTGAATTCCCCATCACAGCTTTGTTTTCACCAAGAAAACCTAGGATCTTCCATCTTAACTTCCCCACATTTGTTCTTATGTATTTTTCTAAGTCTTTGCTATGGCACTTAGATCCATAAAACTTAAAAAACTTAATATTCTTTCTTAAATTTAGAAACAATCATTTTACATATCAATCCCCCACCACTCCTATTCTCCCATTCCCCCTACCAATCCACCTCCCCAACCACTCCCCAAGGATGGTGAGGCCTTCCATGGGGGAATCATCAAAGTCTGTCTCATCATTTGGGGGAGGGCTGCAATACTATCCCTCCATAGGGAATGGACTCCCGAAGTCCATTTGTGTACTAGGGATAAACACTGGTTCCACTGTTAGAGGTCCCATAGACTGCCCAGGCCTCCTAGCTGGCATCCACATTCAGAGGCTTTGGTTTGGTCCAATGCTGGTTCCCCAGCTTTATGCCTGGAGTCCGTGTGCTCTCACTAGGTCAGGTCAGCTGTTTCTGTGGGTTTCTCCAGCATGGTCTTGACTCCTTTGCTCATCCCTCCTCCCTCTCTACAACTGGAGTCCAGGAGTATGGCTCAGTGCTTAGCTGTGGGTATCTGCTTCTGCTTCCATCAGCTACTGGATGCAGGTTCTAGGATGGCCTTTAAGGTAGTCATCAATCTCATTATAGGGGAAGGGCATCAAAGGCAGCCTCTCCACTACTGCCTAGATTCTTAGTTGGGATCATCTTTGTGGATCCCTGAACATTTCCCTAGTGCCAGATTTCTGTTTAAACCTATACTGGCTCCCTCTGTTAAGGTATCTCTTTTCTTGCTCTCCTCTATTCCTCCCCTGTCTCAGTCTTCCTCTCCTCTTCTCCCCACCTCCCCCCTCCACCCCATGCTCCCAATTTGCTCAGGAGTTCTTGTCCATTTCCCCTTCTTCAGCGGAATCTAAAATGGCTGAAAGACACTTCAGAAAGTGTTCAACATCCTTAACCATTAGGGAAATGCAAATCAAAACAACTCTGAGTTACACCAGCCAGAATGGCTAAAATAAAAAACACCAATGGTAGTCCATGTTGGAGAGGATGTGGAGAAAGGGGAACACTCCTCCATTGCTAGTGGGAGTGCCAACTGGTACAGCCACTTTGGAAATCAGTGTGGAGGTTTCTCAGGAAAATGGGAATAAGTCTACCTCATGAACCAGCAATTCCACTTTTGGGCATATACCCAAAGGATGCACACTCATACAACAAGGACATTTGTTGAACTATGCTCATAGCAGCATTATTAGTAATAGACAGAACCTGAAGCAATCTTGATGCCTCTCAACTGAAGAATGGATAGAGAAAATGTGGTACATTTACACAATGGAGTACTACAATGGAATCTTGAAATTCGCAGGCAAATGGATGGAACTAGAAGAAACCATCCTGAGTGAGGTAACCCAGTCACGGAAAGACAAGCATGGTATGTACTCACTCATATATGGATATTATACATAAAACAAAGGATCACCAGCCTACAATCCACACCACCAGAGAATCTAGGAAACAAGGAGGACCCAGAAAACTTTTTGTTTTGAGAAAAGGTCTTAATACATAGCTCAGGATGCCCTTGAATTCTTGGCAACCCTCCTAACTTCTGCCTCTTCAGTAATATTTTGTTTGGCATTTGTAAAAACTCCCTATTTTTCCACCAAAGATTAAGCACCAAAGTTGCTTTTTTTTTTACAGATAATATTTAGTATTTAACATGCATTCCTTTTTTAGACCTTAAAAATAATTCCAGCCGTACTTGTCATAATTCTGCTGTACTTGTCCCAGTTGGTTGTTGGTTCACTCACCCTAAAGTACAGCAAAATAGCTTGCTGCACTTTTAAAGGGGCACACTTACTTTTTTCTCTTCAAAACAGGGTTTCGCTGTGTAGCCCCGGCTGTCCTGGAACTCACTCTGTAGACCAGGCTGTTCTCAAACTCACCGAGTTCAACAGCTTCCCGAGTACTGAGATGAAAGGTGTGTGTCATCACTGCCCATGATTGTTTTTTAAACAACAGTTTGTCACCCCCTACATTCTAATGCATGCAACAAAGACTCATCTGATCAGGGGACAGTGTGGTTCAGAAGTGACATCTTTGTTTATTCTAGACTGCTGGAGGGGATACCTGCAATGCAGCAGGATTGTGATAGGCCTTAATGTGAAGCAAAGTTTAAATTATATTAATTTTAACTTTAATTGTTTCATTTGCTTTCAATTTATTTTGAAAGAATAATTATATTTGAAATATTAAATATAATTCAAATTATTCAATAAATAAAAAATTCAAATTCAAAATAAAATTTAAAAGTTCAATATAATTCAAATAACATATGAAAATAATTCAAATTATACTTGAGAAAATAATTCAAGTGTATTTTAAATGGTACCATTGTGTTTTTATTTACTTAGACATATATTTCAGTTGTGTTTTTACATTTATTTGTTTATTTAGCAAGAGAATGCGAAAGTGTACGTATGTGTATGATCATATGTATGCCATTTTGAATGCGTGGAGGTCAGGGGACAACCCGGTGGAGTCAGTTCTTTCCTTCCACTGGGTGGATCCCAATGATCCAGCTTAGGTCATTAGCCTTGGTGGCAGGCACTTGCTGAAACAAACTCACTTTGTAGCCCAGGCTGGCCTCAAACTAATGGCAATCCTCAAACCTTGTCTTCCTAGTGCTGGGATTATAGGCATGCAATCACCCTCCCCCCAAGCACAGATACTTACGTTGTTTTTAAATCCAGAAGCAATGATTCCAATTTCAACTATAATCTTTATGACTCAACACATCAAGGAGAGACATCAACAACAGAATTAGTCTAGACATTTCCATACACACCGACTTCAGAGAGCGAGCTGTCACAGTCCTCTGCCCACTGTTGTGCTTTCAGCAGCATGTGCTTGGTAAACTGGGACTCAAGCCAGTGCTCTCACCTCTAGTTCTTGTATGACTTATACTCTGATGTGCACAGAATTCCAGGAAAGACCGTAAGTGACGAGGAAAACATATGGTGGTGGGCAGCAGAAATGGATTAATTCCTAGTGTTTACACAATATAAAATGTGGAAGGGAAGCTTCAGTCTGAACATGTTTTCCTTCATCTATAACTATACAACTGGGACTTAATGTTTACACTAACTAAAAGGAATACCCAATATGAAATGTCACCGTGTGGTGTCAAAAGCGAAGGAGACATACTCATTTCAATAGGATTTTAAAATAGATAAGGCGCCATATATCTTGTGATAAAGCACTTGCCTAGCATGCACAGGGCCCTGAGTTCCACTGTCAATGCTGAAATGAAATAAAATAGGACAGGTAAGATGGCTCAGTGGGTAAAGGTGCTTGCTGCTAAGCCTGATGACCTCAGATTTCTGGAAGCCATATGGTGGAATAAGCCTCTTCTGGCCTTCCTATGTGCCAAGAACATACATTATGCATAGACGTACTCACAGGCAAAATACTCATGCACATTAAATAATAAAATCCATTTTAGTAGTCCATCACCTTAACCACTCGACCACCTCATCACCAATAAAATACAGTTTTCTTTCTTTTTTTAAATTTAAACTAGAAACAATCAAGCTGGGCGCTGGTGGTGCATGCCTTTAATCCCAGCACTCCGGAAGCAGAGGCAGGTGGATCTCTGTGAGTTCCAGGCCAGCCTGGTCTCCAGAGCAAGTGCCAGGATAGGCTCCAAAGCTATACAGAGAAACCCTGTCTTGAAAAACCAAGAGAGAGAGAGAGAGAGAGAGAGAGAGAGAGAGAATCTTATTCCATATATCAATCCCAGTTCCCTCTCCCACCCATCCTCCCCTGCCCCTCACCAACCCCCCATCCACTCCCCAGGGAGAATGAGGTCTTCCATCGGGGAATCACTAAAGTCTGTCAACTCATTTGGGGCAGAGCCTAGGCTCTCCCCCATGTATCTGGGCTGCAATAGTATCCCTCCACAGGAAATGGGCTCCCAAAGACCATTCATGCACTAGGGATGAACACTGGTTCCACCTCCAGAGGCCCCATAGACTGCCTAGGCCTCCTAACTGACAGCCATATTCAGGGGCTCTGGTTTGGTCCTACGCTGATTCTCCAGCTGTCTGGCTGGGATCCGTGAACTCCCACTTGCTCAGGTCAACTGTTTCTGTGGGTTTCCCCAGCATCGTCTTGACACCTTTGTTCGTCACTCCTCCCTCTCAACAACTGTATTCCAGGAGTTCGGCTCAGTGTTTTGTTGTGGGTGTCTGCTTCTGCTTCCATCAGATACTGAGTGAAGGCTCTAGGATGGCATATAAGTTAATCATCAATCTCATTATAGGGGAAGAGCATTTAAGGTAGCCTCTCCACTACTGGTTAGATTCTTAGTTGGGATCATCCTTGTGGATCTCTGGACATTTCCCTAGTGCCAGACCTCTCTTTAAACCTATACTGGCTCCCTCCATTAAGGCATCTCCTCTCTTGCGCTCCTCTATCACCCCCCCAACACTCAATCCTCCTGATACCCCATGCTCTCCTCCCCGGTCCTCCTTGCCCCTCGCCCTTCTTCTATTTCCCCCCACCCCGTGTGGTACATTTACACAGTGAGTACTATTCATCAGAAAAAAAATGAAATCTTTAAATTTACAGGCAAATGGATGGAACTAGAAGAAACATGAGTGAGGTAACCCAGTCACAGAAAGACAAACATGGTTATGTACTCACTCATATATGGATATTAGATATTAAACAAAGGATAACCAGCCTACAATCCACGCCTTCAGAGAAGCTGGGAAGCAAGGAGGACCCTGAGAGAGACATACATGGTCCCCTGGAGAAGGAGAAAGGGACAACATCTCCTGAATAAAATGCATTTTAAAAATTCCAATGTTTGCCTGGTGGTGGTGGTGCACACATGCCTTTAATCCCAGTACTTGGGAGGCAGTGGCGGGCAGATGTCTGTGAGTTTGAGACCAACCTGGTCTAAAAGAGCTAGTTTCAGGACAGCCTCCAAAGCCACAGAGAAACCCTGTCTCTAAAAACCTAAAAAATTGCCAGGAACGATCATTGCTGTATAGGACCTCTTGTGCAGATTGCCAGCAGTTTTTTGGAGTAGCCCATTATGTTAAAAGAATGGCTACCTTCAGTCCCAATCAATCTTTCCCTCCCCAACTTCCTGATAAATAGCACCTGGGCTTATAGAAGTAGCTAATAGTAACGAAAGAAACATTCCAAGGTCAGGTTACTTAGCAACCCTACCTCTCATTCACTCTCCTCTTGCCTTATCTGCACCTGCACTATCGACCTTGCTAGCATAGCATCCTGCACTCTGCTTGCCTTCAAGGACTCAAGCACAGGGACATTCTGCGGTTTGGTTATCAGGCAAATGGCCTCTCCCTGCTGAATTCTCGCCCCTCACGCTTCCACTTCAACCGCTATATAAGGTTGCTGAGAAAAATAACATTTTGCAGTTTGATCAGAAATCCTGTCTTGTCATCCTTTCGTCTCTTGTTCCTATTCATTCCAGGTCCTTCGAGATTTGGGTTCTCATTGCAGCCCTGCTGGCCCGGGCAAAAACAAACAAACAAACAAACAAACAAAAAAACAAACAACAACAAAAAAAAATCCAATGTGCGAAAGTTGCTTTTGTGTTGAACATGTACACACTTTTCTCTTGTTCATTGTTCCCTAAACAATACAGTAAAGTGACTGTATATCACATCTGCTTTGTATTAGGTGTGGTAAGTAATCTAGAGAGATTCGATACAAACTCTATGCCGTTTCATATAAGGGACTTGAGCATCTGGGGATTTGGGTATCCCTCCCCCTGCAATGCTAACTGCCAATTATATCATCAGGGAGAGCCCAGGCTGTGTGAGCCCCTCCCATCTAGCTATTGTTAGCCACATGTCTTTCTCCTCCCCAATCCAGTATGGTTTTTCTCTATGTAGTTCTGGATGCCCTGGAACTTGCTCTGTAGACCAGGGTGGGCTTGAACTCACCGGGACCTGCCTCTGCCTCCTGAGTGCTGGGACAAAAGGTGTGCACCACAACTGCCAGGCTCTTTTTTCCGATGTTTTGAGACAGGATTTTCCTGTGTTAGTTTGGGCTGACCTCGAAACTATGATGCTTCATTTACCTCAGCCTTCCAAGTATTTCTTATCAAAAATTTTCTAGGAAATATACAGTTAAGGATTCTCATCTTCCTTTTAGAATCTGTTCCATCACACTCCACATTTGAGCTCCTGTTGGGTTCTTGACTCACAGAATTCCATCCCTTGAGGGTGTTGACCTATGAAGGCAATTAAACACAGGAGGCCACTGGGGGAAGAACTATAGGAAAAGGTGACAATGAAAAGATGTTTCATCAAAATGCCAGAACTCGTGGAAGCACATCCTCCTTCGCATTTACGCACATGGATGTCAAATGGTCAAGCGGTTCCTAAGCAACCGTGCGGAGGCGGTTGCTAGGCAAAGTAATTACTTGCCCTTGGATTCAGCTTGCAGACATCATAAGCCTAGGCATGCAGACTGCTTACCACTTATAGATGAGTGTCAGCTCCACATCCTGTACCACACGGTAAAAATGAACTGAGGGGGCCAGGTGACAGACAACACAGGTGGGTGGGTAGTTCTGTCACAGGGGCCAACTGTGAGTCACAGCCATGCAGTTTTTATAATAGCCTTACACAGAAGCCTGCTGTTCCGCTCTAAGTGTGTCAAGAAAGCAAGGCCCGAGTCTCATCAGAGCCAGCAAGGCTAGTGAGATACTGCCTCATGGTGGCTTCTCCTCAGGCTGCCCATCAAGCCATGTTCAAGGGAAAACTGTTCTAGCAAGATTCCTGTAGGAACCTAGCCTTTCCCTGCGTGGACTGTACAGAGATGAACAAGGCCATATAGCATTTTGTCCTGTTCCCCTGCAGCTGCATTCTCCAGCCATCTGTCCAGCAAGAATTTTTTTAGTAGTTGGGCACAGCGTAATCTCAGCACTTGCAAAACTCAGGCAGGAGAATTCTTGTAAGTTTGAATTCAGTCTTGAGTTTAGGTGCAAAGTAAAACCCTGTCTCAGAAAGAGAGGGGGGAGAAAAAGAGGGACACACACACACACACACACACACACACACACACACACAGAGAGAGAGAGAGAGAGAGAGAGAGAGAGAGTTGTTAGCTTTTAGAAAGCAGCACAGGGCAGCACATTGGACCGCTGGATGTCCCAATTAATTGTACCACTAATCAGATAACTTCTTTTCTATTTGTTTTAGGTGACATTAGATGGCAATAACTGTGACAAAGACCCCCCTTAGTAAAAAGATAAAACCCGCCTGGAAGGTTGAGCACTGCCATGCCCTGGTCTAGAGCCAAGCCTGCTAAGTATGCCATTAGACCAATGCCAGCAAGGGGTCATCTTACTAATGCACAGCTCCACCCCACCTCCAGCAGAAAGCAAGCCTGGGACAGGACACCCAGCATGACATGACTTCCCAGCACCTGTTGCCTTCTTTGTGCTGCTTTGTGTGTGTAACAGCCAAGTAAAGGCTTGAAGGCCACGATGTAGCCATCAGGTGAATAGGATTGTGAGTTCTGTGTAGCATGAGCCTGTCTTTTCAGGTGGGGGTCTCGGAATCAAACTCAAATATGGCAAGAAAGCACCCTACCCTGAGCTGTTCCTCTAGCCCCAAATCATTTATTTCAACAGGAACTAATGTACCCATTATCACACACAAACACTTGAGTGACCGGAATCAGAGTACTTCTAAAGGTTGTTAGGTTGTATCCTCCCAAACCTTCTGTGTTCAAATCCTAACCCCTAAGGCAGAGGTGTTAGTGAGGTGAGGGTGGTTAGGGAGTAAAGCCATCCTAAATCATTCCATGTCAGATTCCTGGCCCCTTCCACCCTGTGAAGGAACAGGGAAAAGCACTGTCTATGATCCCTCACAAAGATGCCACATTTAGCAGGGCCTGGTGACACACACCTTCAGTCCCAGTGCTTGGGAGATAGAGGCAAGCAGAACTCCATGAGTTCAAGGCCAGTCTGGTCTGCAAAGTGAGTTTCAGGCAGCCGGGGCTACTTGGTGAGACCCTGTCTTAAACAAACAAACACAAAATACACATCAAATCTACCAAGGCCTTGATCGAAGCCTTCAGAAATGTGAGCAGTGTCTATTGTCTGAGCTCCTGGCATGTGGTGGTAGTTACTTACAGACAGCACAGCTCCATTGCTGCAGCCTTCGCAGAGCGAAACAGAAGACCAGGATCTAGTTGACCTGGAGTTGACCTAGGACAAATTTAGCAAACTATACTTTCTGTTTGTGGGTTTGTTAGAGACAGGCTAGCTTTGACTTCACAGCCATCTGGAGTCAGACTCCTGAGTGCTGGCTTTACAGACATTTGCCACCATGTTTGGCCCACCAAAGCATTCTGACATGAAAGGACAGGAGAGTATCCTATAAGAGGAAGCCAAGAAAGGCCATGGGGAGATGGCTCAGGGAGATGGCTTAATTTGGAAAAGCACTTGCCTGGAGTTACTGCTCTGTGGTAATCAGAGTGACCCTGCCTCACAAGCTGGAAGGCAGGAACCAACTTCTCAAAGCTTTTCTCTGACCCTCCACCCCACACACACACTGAGGAGAGAGCCTGAGAGTTCTACACGCCAACGTCCCCACATTCTG